TCCGTTGTTGTTTATCTATTTGTTATGGCTAATGTTGTTTGGTTGCCCTTCCTCGTTACATATGCGGTGATAATTTGGCACTATTGCACTACTTACAACCATAAGATAATCGAAAAATTCTTAACTTTGTTATGGAGGGGTTTTCAATGTTTGATCACGAATATAACACCCGTTTCCGAGATTGGCGCCAATTCGCGCCTAATGGCGCCAAAGTCGAAACCTTTTTGCGCCAAACCCGGTAAAATCTTACACATAGGTGTAAATCACCGTTCTGGTCAGAATAGGACATTTGTTTAGGCGTGGTCTTTGGTCGATTCCGGTTAGGGTGACATGAATCCGTTCTGGGCGAACTATGTAAACTCGAAGCAATCTAAACATTCACGCATGTCAATTGACTCCGCCTTCCTCCACGCCCTTCGAACTGCCTACCCGCGCCCCCTGACGCGAAGTTACTGTCCCTCTCTGGAAAGCTCTAACTGGAATAGACCTGATCTTCTCCACCAAGTCCGAGTCCGATACTATTTTGCGCACCACGGATAGAAGGTTATCCCCTTTTTTGTAGGAAGAAAGCTTTTAGTGTTAATAAGTAGCTTCCAAGGTGTGCGATGAACGCATGATAGGTGCATATCAAGAGATGGCTAAATTCTGTGCTCGAACTGAGCCTTAAGGAGGGAAAGGGTCTGAGGGAGAATGTGAGCAATTTGTTTCCGTAGCTCACCTATCTTAGGCAGCCTTAACCTACCATCGAATGCCTATTTTGAATGCTCCCTAAGGACATGAGCGCCTAATTGGAAGTGCGTTTTTTAAGAAAATTTTTCAAAGTGTGGGAGAATTTTTGGGAAATTTACAAGTTTCAGAGGGAACTGGGAAATCTCTTAGGGAGCTCATGTCCTAAGATTAAGGGGGACGTTCAGAATAGAACATTCAAAAACCGCTGGTAAGGGAAAACAATGCTTTCTAACAATCCTTTCCGTCGCGGCTTAGTCCGCAGTTGGGGGGGGGAGCGAGCCTATGAGTGGCCCATTTACTTCAATGTCCCCCCCCTAAGGACATGAGCGGGTCCCCTAGTTTTCGCCGTTTCAGCGGTCACATATATTGCCCTCTAATACCCTCGGCTCCTGTTCCCTTGGTTATAAAAAACCCTGAATGGGAAATTTTTGATGAAACGTGAAAGTACAGCGGGAACCTGACCGGCTTTGTCGGCCAAAACGAGGTTACCACGGGAAAACAGGTGATTTTGCTGGATTCAACATGGTATCAACTGGGTTCAACATAGTATCAACAAGAAAGAACTTGTCCGAGTGTTCTTCTTCGCACTAAAACTCGACATCTCTGGGAGCTTTCTAGACTATTTCTGCGCTGCGACCGCCTGCCCAGTCACATCTCTTCTTAAATGCCCCTTCTGCGATGCGCCACGCGCTTAACTTTCACTTGAAACTGGCACTTATGCAAGACGGGTGCATCGCAGCTGCGACACATTTGAACACATTCGAATTTTTTGTTCTATACGGGCATTACCCGTAGGTCTTTTTCGGGGAGACTGCAGGTACATTAACATTTTTTCTTTATCCCGGAGTTCACCCGCCTTCTAGTCTTAGGGATGTTTCCGTATCTTGCGATAGTGCCCTGAAACCTCTAGAGGAAAAAAAAACAGAGCTGACAAGTTGCCCTACTTAATGACGTTCACGTGCCCGTTGTGGGTAAACTTGCATGGACGGCAGTAATCTGGACTCAACTGCTAGTTACCACGTGGTCATGAGGTCATGTAACTTGCTGGAGGCCTACATGCGTCTAACAAAATACACTGCTGTACAGGACCTTTGGGACCTCTCCGAAGATTCCTCATCAGAATAGTTTAAGTGAGTTTGAATTCACTCGGGAGTAAGGGTGGAGCCCATTTGGTGGCTGTAAGAGGATTGGCAGCGCTGCTGCAATGGGCGGCAGCGAAAGAGTGGTAGTGCACGAGATGTGGAGAGGCAGGCGGTCGTTGTCTGCGCCGCTAAAAAGTCCTTCGGAGGATGGCCATATGCAAAGTGTCAGTTTGCGTGGGTTAAAGCAGGGTAGTGGTAAGGGAAGGGGGTCGCATGGTACTGATACGGCAGTGGTGTAGCGCCCTGGTTCTACATTCGTATTGGATAGGTCACGGGATCAGTGCTATGGGATGTCCGAAGCTTTGCAACCTTTTAAGGCTACTCTCATTTCTCTACAACTTCCTCCATCGACAAATAGGGCTCCATAACTGCATCGAATGTTCAAGCCCATGTGTAGCGCAAGTTTTGGAGACAATGTGGGGCATGCTCACTATTTTGACCATAGCGAATTGCCAATGGCTCAGTGGAAATGTTCCACGCTGCTAGTGGCCAGGTTACTGGATCAACATCGTGTGAAGTCTAAGATTTTGCAGCATGTCTTCCAACGCTGCTGCAGATTGATGTTGCACTGGCAAAATCCCGTCTTCAAGCTCTATCATCCGGAGCCTAAGTCCGAAGGTGGTGCAAGTTTTGCAGAGCGTGTGGCATAGCTGGCTCGTGGCTTCAAGTAGGGTCATCTTCATGCTCCACCTTCTGTAACCCTCGTCAATGGGGGAACTCACACATTTCATTGCTAGTTTATGTACTTTACTCCCATCCCAGATTTTCTTGTTATGCATGCTACAAAAAGCTTGGTGAATTGATGCATTTGGAGGAAGTTATGGCTCTTTCAAGTACAAAAACTCGTACTTCTCTAGAAATTTCCTCGAAAGTCACGTGAAACGATTTTTTTCTGTTAAATTCTACAAATCTGACACTCCAACGAACTATTCGTCGAGTTATGCGACGAAAAAAAAAAGCGTTGGTTCGAGCTTCGAGGCTTGTTCGACGCACTTATTCGAGGATTTCCGTCTATTTTCACTCTATCGGCGCATACATTACTCTATCTAGGGCCGAGCCGTCTGCACTCTCTCGCGCGTATTCACTCTCGACACTGTTCTCACACAGTACAGAACTGTGGTCGAAAAGCAGTCACACCTCTTCGCAGGTCGTATGCTGTGCGCAGAGGAGAACGGAGGGATGGTGGGAGGTGGGGACGAGGAGGGGTATCTCAGATCTTCCTCGACGCCTCGCTTGACCCTGTCTGGTTGGCCAACGAGGCATTCGACCCGGATCACGCGTAATAAGCGGCGCTTTCGTAATTATAAGCTTTTCCGCCATATGAACACAGGATATGCACAGGATATGGTAACATTCTGCGACAGAAGCACTGATGTGCATTTTCTAGGTAGTGAAATCGGCCTCGTTTTTGCTAACGAAACCGTCCACCCCTCTGGGGCTAGTTTCTGGGTTGGTACTAATCATTGCATTTACATCAGAGTCAGGCAAGGTGACACGATCTCTCCCAAGCTATTCACCACCGCCCTCAACCACGCGATGCTACAGCTGGACTGGGATGATAGAGGCATCGACATCGACGGCAAGAAGTTGTCTAACTTACGCTTCGCAGACGACATCGTCCTCATCAGTCAAGACCAAAAGGAACTACAGCAGATGGTGGAGGAGTTGGACGATGTCGGCAGAGCCATTGGCCTCACGATAAACCGGAACAAGACAATGGTCATGCGGAACGAATGGGCAGATGCGTCACCTATCATACTCGGAGGCGCCGCACTCCCGGACACCGACTGCTATGTGTACCTCGGTCGACTCATCTCCGTGGACAACAACTTGCGCGCAGAGATCATGAGGCGCAAGAAATGCGCATGGACGGCAATGGGAAGCATCAAAGAGGCGGCTCAGCTCATCTCGGACAAGAAGATACGAGCTGACCTATTCGACTCTACGGTACTGCCCGCACTCTGCTACGCATCCGAGACGTGGGCGGAGAAAGACGTCTACGATGATGTTGACTCGCGCACAAAGAGCGCTGGAGCGGACATTGCTGAACATTAACCGCCGGGAGCAGAGAAGCCGCAATTTGCGCAGCACAGACATGCGCTTAATGTCTGGTATCCGTGACGCCGCAGTGTATACGTGGGACGCAAAGAAACGATGGGCCGGACATGTGGTCAGACGCATGGATGATCGGTGGACCACACGCGTTACGTTCTGGTATCCACGAGACGTGAAGCGCACACTTGGCCGTCCTGCAACACGATGGAGAGACTCCCTGAAGAAACTTCAAGAAGATGCGGGCCAACACTGGGCCCAAACCGCTCAAGATCGTCAAAAATGGAGGGAAGCGTGTGCTCGCCGCTGAAGATCATCGGCTGACAACGAGCATCCAAGTATCCAAGTACATCAGATACGCGAATTATCTGACAAAGCAGAAAATTTCTCGAAAGGAAAATAGGTGGACATGATTATGAAACTTGTGCCACAAGTGATGGGATGAAAATCCTATTGAGTTGGTATGATTTTGAGTAAGAGTTGGCTGTGTGGCGCATTCCGGCAGTATTTGTCGACACATATTCGCTCTTTGTCTTTGTTCTTGTGATATATTTTGCGGCAAATAGTGTGCCCTTCTTTACTCCTCAACAGGGCAGCGTTCACAATTCGTGGTCGCATATGCCACTAGGCGATCAGGCGAGGGTTCAAAAGGAAAAGTACCCTCCCCTTCAAAAAGCGAGAAAGTGTCGGGTGCAGACCATACACCACAAGTGACGACGGCCTTCACAAAATGTTAATGTTTTCTGCCAATGAAATGATTAGCCTGTTGCAGTTGTATTCTATCATTGTCACTAATTACAACTATCATTTACCAGAAATCAGCTATCACTATGAACAACTTCTAACCAGATTTACTTGGAGGCCGTCGTCAGTTGTGGTGTTTGGTCTGCACCCGACACTTTCTCGCTTTTTGAAGGGGAGGTTATATGTATCGATCAGGCGATTAGGCGATCGCGCAGTGTTCGGAACCATTCGATCAGTCCTATTTGCTTAATCGACTAATCGCATATAGATCGCGAACCATGAACGCTTCCATAAATCTCAATATACTAAAGTGATCTCATTAAAGTGTTCAGGATGCAGGATTATCGAAGGCGTATTGCACCTATACCTCCAGCGGCCTCCGATTACATTGTCATGGCGGTGTTGAAAAACGAACAACTGCTAATACGTAGCGGTAAGACTCGCTATATGTCGACCAACCAAACTCGGAGGAAGGCATGGGAAGATATTGCGTCAGAAATACGAAAACGATTCAATGTTTCGCTGACCCCGCTTCAGATTCAGAACCACTTTGGCAACAGGAAGAAACGGGTCCTCGAGGGAAGGTGAGCTTAGTATTTTTCGGCATTTGAACATCAGTGGGATACGCTGAAAGTCTACGGCATGCGTTCGTGTAAGGAAAAAATTGCAGGAGTTCCCAGCCGGTCGACTTCATGGTTTTTCTGCACTCATCCGCGCTCTCTTGTCTAAATAGTTTCTCGTAACTTGTATTCAGTTATCACAGGAATGCTGGGTGATGGGCGAAACTTTCGCCCTAGCATTCATGCCCAGGATCTCACGGTTCCCGGGCGGTTGCGCTACCAGTTACGCAATTGCTCGGAAAGCAAGAGATCCGGGTTCGAATCCCGGCTGGGGCGAAAGTTTTGCCACAACTCAGCATTCTTGTGATAACTTTCGCAACGCGAACTGCGGCGTAAAACAGCAGTTATCCAATAAAAACAAGTCAAAAATACTGCATTAAGTATTGAATGGGACGTTTTAATCTGCGTTTCTGCAATCTAGCCTTTCGCGGTAGGACCCTAGCAGAAAGTCCAAGAAGTCCTGCCGTGGAGTTCTGGATATCGATCATGATGACGATGAACAGCTGGAGTACGCGCATGCCGTGGCCATAGGGCACCATATATGCGTTATAGCACAAAGAAATGGCTCCCAGACAATACCCTAACCATTTGGGCGCGGCCGCGGCGAACGCGGCCGAGTCGATAGTGCCCGCGAACCGTTGAAAACGCACTCGAGGTGCCCGCGAACTGTGCTGTGCTGAGTTCGCGGGCACCTATCAACTCGGCCGCGTTCGCCGCGGCCGCGCCCAAATGGTTAGGTATTGGGGCAGGGTGAATATCGGTCGAGGAAATCCTCGACAGGGGGGTCGTACCTGTTGGGCTGGTCCATGGGGGGTCGTACTCTTGGGGTCAGTAACAGAAGTGGTATCATGGTGCAGATAGGTAATAGGGTATAGCGCAGCAGAAAATGAAAACATCGAAAAAAAACATGATATTAAATTTTCTTTGCAGGTTCAGTCGCTCCATTCCTCCACCTTCATGAGAAGGGCGTATTTGAAGGCAGTACAAAGAATGAAAGTGCATCCCGCAAAGAAGAGTGCCACATGTGCGCACGCGCTGCAAAGGCACCTCCTCCGCCTATCACTCGCTCCTTCTCCCTTAATACCTCGCTGAGAATGACGCTGTTGTTAGGGACCCTGTCGGAAAAACGACAACCGTGAAGAAAAAGCGCTGGGCAAATGAAGTTGTTTTTTAGGTTACAGGAATAGCACAACACACTATGTTTTTTTGTTAACTGCTGTTTTTGGCCGCAGTTCGCCTTGCGAATGTTTCACAAGAATGCTGGGTTGTGAACAAAACTTTCGCCCCAGGCGGGACTAGAACCCGCACCTCTCGCTAAAGCGGCACACACTATGTCTACTACAATACAGTTTCGTTCGAAGGTCCCCATCATATAACACCTTTCAATCGATTCTGCAACTGTGAGTGGAGGAGGGATGCATGGCTTATACCAATACCAAATCGGATGATGACGATTGCTCCTATTCTTATTGTTTGCGTTCAAAGATATTGTTCTAGACACATTCCGAGTGTTGCCAACGAGTCACACTTGCAATGGTGAATGAGGGAGCGGATTTCCAGGTGGCCGGATCCGTCCTCGATAGATCCTCGACGCAATTATCTCTTCAACCAAAAAGCTGTAGAAGAAAACTAAACAGACCATCAGGAAGCGCAAACCTTCCGCTTTCCAAAACTATCTTCCCTTTTTCAGGATCTTACAATATAAGAGATATATTGCTCTTGAAGTGGCAAAAACTCGCGTGAAAATTTCGGCCTCCTCGACATTTACTCGACGAAATTTGACAGACCCTATCTTTCTGCAAGGAAGGCTTCCAGAGCAATTTCGATGCTTGTTGGAAACGCGAAATCCAGCTCTATCTAACTCTACCTCAAGCTGCTTCAAAGGTTGTGAAATGGAGGAATGCAACCTTTTCATCGAGGGTGTAGATTCGGACGTTTTTTTTTGAAATTTCGGCAAATCTGACCCAGTGACAATCGCGCCGCAGCTGCCGTTGAATCGGCCTTTGATACACTCGGCTGTTTTGATATACTCAAGCAAGAATCAAGATTGAATCGCAACCCCGTGTCTTCAGGATTTCTGTGCGTTTCTGAACGAACCTCGCCTTGAGGTCACACAAAGTTAATGCCTCTTTCCTCGAGTCGATATTTCAGTATGTACACAAAAGTATGCAGCGATGGGAGACGTGCATAGATGACAAGATGAAGCGTCCTTAGCATTATTTTGCAGAATTTTTTTTATTGTTTTGATTTTTTTTGATTTTTGTTTTGCAGGATTTATTTTAATTGAATTAATTTTGCTCTGTTAGAGGGGGTCGTGCCAGGATCTCGATTTCGGGGGGGGGGGTCGTACCTCTGCGACCACGTACTCGACACGATTTTCACCCTGGTGGAGCCCAAGAAATGATTGCCCAGCTAATGACCGTGATCTTAGGCTTTTTGGCTTGGTGTGGCCGCAAATTCGCTTGGGATTTGACTACCGGACCGTGCCTGTTGAAATGACCCCTTTTGCCATCATACTACCTCCAAATGAAAGTTAAAGCCTGAAATTGAAAGGAATATTCATATTGGTATGTTCTTCTAAGGAACAAAGTCAGTAATCAGTCTGAAGCGATTTACAGCTTGAGGATTGTGTGCTTTTTGCTTTAGCAATCCATAGAGGCGTGCTCATGCTCTGCTAGCTCCGGCGCGCAAGTATTCTCTGCTAAATTAGCTGCTATGTCGTTATTGAAATCTTGTATTTTATTTGGTATCGGCTGATTGATCAGTCTCGATGGCTAGGATCGGTAACGTCGTCAACAAACTCTAAACCTTCTAAATCGCTTCTAGCCAGTATCCGCAGAACGTCTCCATCTTCTCAAAGTTGCACCATGAGCTCATATTGGTGCAGGTGATAAATAAAATATGCAGCTCCTAAAGTAGCTAACAGAACCATTTTTGAAGTGCGAAACTCCTCAAAATTAACATTTTGAGAGGGTCACATACGCGACAGTTTTCTTGCGCTGGAATGTGCTTCGGAAACGATCTGTGTCACCATGATGGTAAATGTCTAGCTCATTACAGTGGAAATTGTGGAGCTTCTTTTGTACCAGCTCAGCTCTCAAATGCGCATGATGAAATTGTGATGGTATGGAGATGTGTCCTCAGGAGCCTAGGGATCGCGGCTGCTCGATAACTTAATTTGGGGACACGCGTCGGCGCGGCAGTCTGCTCGCCTGGCATGTTCGGAAATCCGTGGACCAGGGGAAGTGTAGGCAGTCTAGGGGGGTGGGGGGGCAGTCACTTGACATGCGTGAAAAGCTGGAATGTTCGAATTTACACTGTCTCGCTCGAGAGGACCCAGGTGAGCAGACTGCCGCGGCGCCGCGTGGCTCCCCCCCCAACTAAGTTAGCACCCCCAAGGGTTTGCCAGTGACTTACAACTGGAGGGCAGCACGGTTTCGATGCCATCTTTGTTCGTAATTGGTGAGCTAGACCCTACATCGACTCAAGCCGTTGTGACACGGGGAGTACCCGAAATGAGCGTGCATTATGATGTTTCCGCTGTAGTCACGTACAATGCGCGACACATTGGAACATCGTAATTTACGCTCAGTTCGGGTGCTCATGTGCCCGAACGACTTGAGCACCCTACATCGCACTAGAGGTGTGGCTGACCGCCTTCTACCGCCCTTCCACCAATGTGCCGTCATCAGAAGCGTAACACCCTGGAGCCATCGTAATAACTGCCTTCGGTCATCTGTTTCAAATGTTATTCGAGGCAATCAAAATATAACAAACATATGTTGTTGTATGTTAAGGTATCCACCTCCTTCACGCTTACGGTGATGTGGGAGCGGAAAATTCATTGTACAAGTCTCGAGAACTAGATGCACAACTATATCGACTAGCCATTGAAAGCTCACAGCAGCATAATACAGCCCCATCTAGATACGATTTTCGTCCACAGAGATCGTCGGTATGTCTTATTCTGAGGGTTCTCGTGTATGTTTGCATTTAAGAAACTGCTTCAGATGAATTTTGACGCTTACATGATGGAAACCGCATCGAACGATCCAAATGTCTCCGATAGTGACGATATTTCTATTTATGAACCTCCAGCCAAGGCGAACGCCACAACCAAGAAAGAGGTGGGGTTTTCTCAGCAGTCTGGGAAAAGTGAAATCCAGGCAAGTGGAAATGGGTCATTGAGGTGAGGTGACCATGAGTGGCAGGGCAGGCATGGGGCGGCTTGAAAAGGTAGCGAACTCTGAGTCGACTAACCAGGAAGGTCTTTCAGGGCGTGACAAGCTTTTTGAAAACGGTCTTTTGCATGATATAGGGGCAGACGCATGGACAGGCTCAGAACTCCTGTTCCATCTTCTTTCCTGGCGAACCAGGCCTCTGAATCCAGAAAGCGAGGTCCTAGCTCTCGATTCGCATCAGCTGGCTAACACAGACATCTTCTGCCATTTTGGTTGAACGTGCAACAATCTCCCGCAACCGCGTTAAACCTAACCAGACCACACTCCAGAACCGCCCACCATTGATCTTGCGCGATTTTTGGAAAAACCCGTTCTCCCCCCCCACAACGTCAACTCCGAAATGCAAAAATTTGTCACCAAGAGGAATCGAACTAGGGACCCCCTTTTCTGGTATTCAGAGGGCCGTTCAGGAAAAATTAAACATGGTTCTGTGGTCCCCGCATCTGCCCCTATATCATGCAAAAGACCGTTTTCAAAAAGCTCGTCACGCCCTGAAAGACCTTCCTGGTAAGGGCTGGTGATTCTAGTGATAAGCCCAGAACGCCGCGTAAGAGGAGGGGCCTTACTCGATGCCTGCTCATGCGGCGCAGATGTATCCATACCACAGCTACGCGTAAAACTTGTCGTTCGCTTTCGCTCGAACTTAACACAGCACTTTAAACCTGCACCCACATTCCCGCAAAGGCTTGCCCATCTTTCGAGTTTGGCAACATCAGTTTCAAGCCCTCTTGCGAGCGTAGGAGTACTGAACTTGAATGTGGGCAGATCTACGACAGCTCGGGTAGCGAGCATTCAGTGTCCTAATTACTGTGGTTTTGGATGGAAGTCGAGGGTGAGGCGCAATCTGAAGGAATCGATTAGCTCCCACAACTATGTATTTTCTCGTTTTTCCGAAGTTTCGTGGAATTCCTATTCCAATTTTTCTCCATTTGTTAGAAATTAGATAAAGAGATAAATTTGAGTCCTAATACTGTACCGATCGTTCTGTCAGTGTATAATATGTATATTTTTTGACAGGATTTGTCGGTCTTTCAGCGTACTGCAACCCCATCAATTGAAAGAGAATTTCCGAATGGTTCCGCATGTTCTGGTGACAACTACGATCTCACAGTACCCGAATTGGATTATTCCGATGTATCAGAAATTGAAATTCAACGACTACGAATGGAGACGTTAAAGGTTAAATTTTCAGCACATAAACCCTGAAAAACAGTTACCAAAGCCAACGTTGTATTTTTCTGTCATGCGATGGAACAGGTACATGATATCTAGCCTTGTGGTGTTAAAGCGTTATCAATGAGAGAGTAAGGTCGTTGTCAGACTTTGCGAATCGAGCGATTCGCTAGCGTGCGCGGTCGCGTCGCGGTACCAGCCACTTTGCGAATTAAGCGATTCGCTAGCGTCGCGGTCGCGTCGCGGTACCAGCCAATCGAGCGATTCGCTGGCAGCGAAGCGATCGCGGGCGCTGGATTCGCAAAAGTCTGACATCGTTCCAAGAAAGTAAAAAAAATCTTCGCTGGTTCGTAAACCCCACCCATGGCGCAAGCCCCGCCCCGGCCACTGGCTCAGCTTTTGTGGAAATAATAGCTGTGGCAATACTTGGTGAAGAGAAGAACCCTTGCAGTAAAAAAGCGATAGTAAAGAAGTAAACTAATGGTACCATTGAGCATGATCCTGTATTACCGGAATGGTTCTAGCACGAGTATGCCGAGTGTTGATGCAGCAAACCCCGCAAGACACATTTCTTGGATTTTAAAGGGGTTTTCTGAACTATTTTCCCATGTTCGCTGTTGGTTTCCCACTAAGAATTTATTCAATTTGAAGTGCAAAACATTTTCATCTGCTTTAATTGTTGTGATCACTGCTCTTGCAATCTGTTCCCCAACATGGAGATGATTCAGAGCGAAAAACGAATGTTTGAAAAGTGGACGGAAATGGCGGCGGCTCAAATCAAAACGTTGGAGTCGATGATGTCAATGCAAAAGGAATTTCTTCAACAAGTTACTAAAATCGTCAAGGTATAAGTCAGCTTTTATTGTTTGAGCCGCGTGCGTTTGAAAAATGGATATCGATTAAGCGCGTGCGCGAAAAATCAATACTTGCTGTGTGTAAAGTTGCACATGAGTAAGGTGAGCTGAAGTGTCAGAAGAGCGTATTAGAAGCAAAGTTTCAATGTTCTATTAACTGAAATTCTAAAATTATCATTTTAGGGTGTTGTCCCAACTCAACAACCCCGGCGAACCTCATCTAATCGCCATGATCGCGGGCAAGCACACGGTCAAGAGATATTCGGATTTGAGATATTTTAATTGTTTTTTATAGCTTCACTTTCTAACGGATATGTTGTATTTTTTGAATTTACCATAAAATATGACGAATTTCGTGTAATGGGAGTCCTTTAGGTTTTTGATCCCTTATTGACAGTGTTTGGGCACTTCGTCCTCTTGTACCATGTTTTTCATTTGAAGATCTCACATGAAGAGCACTGCTTTTCTCTTGAGGTTGGGATTCTTTCTGAGATTGGAATACCCGAAATCATCATCTAAACTTGGCCTTGACCTGGAGCTGTTTCGGCCTAGAGTGTCTTGGTTGAGCTATATTAGGGGAGCACTCAAGTCTATAGTCACTGCCGACTGCAATTTGACAATCACTGGCAAAAGAAGCTCTGGCTACATGGAGGATCAAGCACTGATCTTGAACTACTTCATTTTTCGGATGCGCCACGCATTATGCTTGCGCCCAGTGTTGTAAGTTGCTCACTTTTAATACTGATTGGTTCTATGAGCTTCTGACCTGCAAGTTGCTTTTTTTTCCCAGATGGGTGAAGTCCGAAGAGGATGAGAGAGGTTGAAGGGAAGAAATGCCAGATTGCTCTCAGATGGTTTCGACCGACTTGAAGCTGAGTTTCTGCTCTGTCCAGTTGGTATTCATTGTTAATCATCTCGTGAAGGTAATAGCACCGCAAATACAAGTGCTATAGTGAGTTTCATTCATTTCAACCCTTCATGTTTATAGTTTGGAATGCCAACAAAAAAGGCAGCTGGTGATGTTGTGATAAGGCATATTTGATATATTTGTGATTATTTACTTTTAGCGTAAGTGTAAAAAGCGTGGTTCGAATGGGGTGTTTTTATTTATATCAAAGACATGCACTCATTGCACTCATTAGGAAACGCATCTTTCTGTCAGACCAAACTACCAGACAGTAGAAGCAAAGCAATATGTTGCAACAAAAGGATGGTAGGATGCTGCTTTGGTCGGCTTTATGGGAAATGACTTTGGAATCCGGCGCGTATCGCAAAATTAGGGATCCCTGGGGCACAAAGCCTGCGTAGGGAAGGAAGTTTTGGGCGAGAAAATTACTGACCCTGCCATGTCCTCGTTTTTGGGGCCTCCTTTGGTTCTTAACATAGATCAGGTGTTTGATGCGGTTCCAAATGCATTGCCGCTGTGATGCCTCCCCCGTCTTGCGATAGCGATTGGAATCCAGTATCTACACCATGAATACAAATATAAAGTACCTATGCTATCAGTTTCACGAATAAAAGAAATGCTTTTTCTACATAAGAGTGAGAGAATAGGAGATGAAAAGGCAACCACCAGTGCCACCGAAAAAAAGCAAAGGAAACCGCCGAAAACGCTAAAAAGAAAACTTAGTGTTTTTCATGGTGACCAGTACCATGACGTAGGAATGGGTGCTGAGAATTTCATACAAGTTTCAAGCATGTCGAAATCCGGAATCATAGAAGAATCTAGTATGTGATAGGTCCACACACGGATGTCAAGGATAGCCGACAGGTTCTTTTCGACGGATTCAACGAGGAAACCTTTACAAAAAGGCTTGAGACATTCACCACCCCCTCTACCGCTCGCAGGCTGCTTTTCTGTTTTGTAGGGAATAAGTAGGCGGAGTTGGACTGGTTAATAATAAAATAACTGCTAAATAACAGCCAATCAAGAGTGAACAGTGGGCGGAGCCAAAGGGTGTATTGAGGGAACCTTTAGGCTGAATGGCTGTTGAGTGCGAGCCTGGAATTTCGAGATGCGCCTGAGGGCGGTAGAGGACGCGGGGGGGGACGGGGCGGATATAAAGTTGCTGAGAAAGTGTGAACGCCGACGGTGCCGACACTGACACTCTTTTGTGCTCTTCTCAGTTTCTTTTAGCGAGAGATAAAGAAAATAAAAATAAAATAAAAGAAAAGAGCGTAGAAGTATAGAGTTTATCAGGTTTTCTTTTATCTCCAATTCTGATCTTAATGGTATGGAACTTTTTAACCCAATCATAGCCAGTTCCATGAAAGTAATTGTCCATTGACAATAGCTGTAACATCCATTTTTGGGACGGAAGTGGTGTAGTGGCAAGTGGCACGCTCACCACGCGAGCGGTCCGGGGATCAAATCCTGGGTCGTGAGTCGCCCGGGCCAACCAAGCCTTCCATCCCTCCGGGTCGGTTAATTGGTACCAGACTTGTCTGGGAGGATAAAAACACTGACTTGTACATCGGCTGGCCCCCGCAAGTCATTGTATAGGCCACATCGCATTCAAATGCCACTACGAAATGTACAAATGGAAGTAGAATGCGTGCCGCATCCCAAAAAGGGATTGATCAACGGCGAATGCTTTATGTTTTTGCCTTATCATCCATTTCAGCTTAGGGGATATTTGCCATGAGGACAAAGCTCCCTGAGGAGCTTTTAGCCTGCATGGAATGGGCTTTATTACCCATGCATAACTTTCGAGGGAGTTCTTCTGAAGGAAGTGTTGAAAAAATCTGACCTGGTTTCTCAAAGGCAGGGCTGACCGTGAACTGTGGTAATCTCCCCCCTTTCAATATAACCAACCCTCCCCCCCCCGTCAGATATACGACCCAACTCCCTTTGGCCAGCCGAACCTTCTACGATTGGCGACTCGTGGCGCTGATACTGTCGTTGAAGTTCGCTTCCAAACGTCAAAAAGGAGTCGGGCTCAGGGCGGGTCAAGCCACTGAAACATGGGAAAACCACGGATACTTCGGAATTTCGCTCTTTCTCTGATCCTTCCACGCTGCCCCTCAAAATAACCTCGTTTAGCTGAATACAATCATAAAATTTACGAAAGATACAACATTATTATCACAACATTATAAAACACATTACAAAATATCACCCCCTCTTACAGCTCGAGAGGGACGGTGATGGGTGTTACCCTACGAAGACAAGTATGTACCTAGTTGCTGTCAGGTCTCAAACCCCGACTGTCATGAGAATCGATCAAGCCAGAAGTTCGAGTTCTAGTCCCGACGGAGCGAAAGTGTTTTGGCTGTAATTAAGCATTCTTCTGAGAACATTTACCTCACCGACTGCACCGAAGAGCCTCCAATTAGCCAAACAAAAACAAGCAAAAGACTTATTAATAACCTAGGAACTAGTAATAATAGTTACTGCATAATATTTAGACACAAATTAAAGACATCAGCCTTGATCAGCACGCTTCGGGATGCACCCTGTATTCAGTTTCCAGTTTGACTCCATTGGTACCGGACATGTCTGGGCGTATAAAAGCGCGGACTAGAACATCGGCCGACCCCGGAAAGTGAGAGTGTAGGCTGTAGACGCATCCCACTACAGCTTCCTTCAGTGGTTGCTGTAGACCCAGTCTCTAGCCCGTGCTTTTGTACGCCCAGACATATGTGGTACTAGTGGGCCAATCCAGGGGGATGGAAGGCTTAGGGGTGTGGCTTCACAAGGACAGAAAGCGACTTTTTCGCGTTTCGCAGCGCGAAACATTTTTCGCTGCGGAACCTCGGGTCCACTGATGATCAGCGGTGGACCTGAGGTTCCCGCAGCGAAAAATGTTTCGCGCTGCGAAACGCGAAAAATTCGCTTTCTGTCCTAGTGAACCACACCCAGGCTTGGTCGGCATGGGCGGGATAAGATTCGGTGTAATCGACGGAACAATCGCGTGGCAACGATTCAGCCAGCTTTTCCCCTAGTTCTGCCATGAAATGCGATTAGTGAACACAGCGCACGAACACCTTCACTTTAGCAAGGCAATTACCTTTGTGGGAAGTGCTCGAGTTGCTCTTAGTAGGTGCATGTCGATGCTCACTTGGAGTGCACGTGAAGACTTACATGAAAGGCGATTATAGCCGCCAGATGCAGCTGCCCAGGCGATGAATGTTTCTGGCTACTCTCCAATGCGTCAGGATTCATCCGAGATCGTGCAACCGCGACCAGCACGACCACCTGCCCATTCGCTGTTCATCTCTGCCATTATCTGTCGCCGATTTAACCCGATGATATCGTCGCTATGTCACCAGGAAATGAATTGGTGTCCTGGCTCAGAGTTGTTAAATTACAGCTCAACTCCTTAAAATTGCAAATTTGTTTTTATGGGCTGAAAAGAAGCTCATTGGGACAAGGCAAATGATGTTTGGGGCGGGATAGTTGAAGGCATTCTGTATAAGTGTACAGCCTCTAGGTCTACTTGGAGACAGAGTCAACCGTCGTGCTCGCATTTTCCAAAAACTTTACCCCCCCCCCCCTCCAAGAGGGTTTCGATGCGGCACTACCACC